TAATCTAACTAGATTTAAGGGCACTCATCACCCTGTGGAGGTGGGCTGCCTGGTTTTGAATTCTTAGTATTCATGTAACCTCAGACAGGTTACCTACCTCAGTTTCCCCATCTGCTGCTGAGGGAAAGAACAGAAGGGACTCAGAGCTCCGCCCAGGGCTCAGCGTGCTCGGTGAGTGGCAGCTGCGGCTACTGCAGAAGTGGGCCCAGTGCAGATGTGCAAGGGCTGTATGCATTCCGACGGCAAAGCAAAGGAACCCCATGTGATACAGAGTGAAACCTGAGAAAAACAGCTTTTTTCCCTTCAGGTTTTTGACACCTGGTGGTGGGTTTTGAAGCAGCTCTGCCGGAAAGGCTGACTTAATAATTAGCTTAGAATGACCCCAAACAATAGGGCTCGGCCCCTGCTTCTGCTGATTTAATTTTTTTTTGTCTGGTGGAGAGAAAATGAGCACCATGCAGATTATTTTGTGAAGGATCTTATGTTCACGACAGAAGTTTCCGTGCGAATGCTCTGTTGGAAAGTCTGGGTGGGCAAAACGGCCACAACCAAGCCTGCCAAAGAACATGAAGTAATTGAGGCTCAGAGCCGAATTTCCTCACGCGGGCTCTGTGGACTGCATTGATAGGTGTTATTCAACCAAAGGTCCTTCGAGAATAGGACCCCGTGGTCGGCAAGCCTTTTTCCTTCCTAAAGGACCTCTGGCTTTGAACATGCTAACAGAGATGAATTTCTCAGAGAGAGCCATGTTATGCAGGAGCTTTCCTTGCAAGTTTAACCTTGAAAATGCACTTGTTTTTTTGTGAATAGAATTGGGAAAGGCTGTTTTAGTGGGTGAGCAAAGGACACGTCATTCTTCACTGGCCAGTTGATACCAGGCTTCTCAAATCCTCTTCCTACCAAAAAGAGAACCAGCTCAGGGGACAGGCTCCTGGGCCTTGTTTCTGAGGCCTCCACCTTGTGTAAGCCTTAAGGGTAACCTGGACATCCAGCTGGTACAGGTAAACCCACGAGACAAGGAGATGCTATCAGCTTCCTGGGATACGATTTTACAATCCCCTTTTGAGAAATGTGAAACTTATTCAGACTCTAAAATATTTTTATTCATTGTATTAGTTATTTGATCAGTCCTGAAAAGCACTTCAGGTACTGCATTTATCTTTGGTGTAATCCAAGAACAGCTAGATGAATGATTCTTCAAAGAATAGTCTTAATGGCTGTAATTATGATCTTTGCAGTCATGATTGGCAGAAAAAGCACAGAAACTGCCACCTCCAAGGATTAAATATTAATTACTTTCATGCTTAACAGATTTAAACCAAACTTCAGCTCAAGATCTTAGCATATAATTGATATCTTTAAATTCCAAACTAAGATAATGTAGATAATTCCCTTTAGAGTCTACAGCCAATAGTGTTATTCAAATGTGACTTTATTAAAGATTTATTTTATACTATCTGATAAATACCTGAAATTAGTTACATTTTTGGGTGACATTTACTTTCAAATATACCTTCATTATTTTATAGGAATATGGGCCTCCCCCAGGACAGTAAAATCCCTGTTACAGGAATTCTTCTCTAGACCCTGGGTGTCTAATCAGTTCAATGAACTAGTGAATGAATGAATGAATGAATGAATTTAAGAGTTGACTTTGGAAAGTGGCAAAATGCAAGTAAAGTCAGAGTGTTTTTTTTGTGGAACTTTAAGGTTTAATAAAAAATAGTTTTGTTCTTTTCAATGTTTCCTCTGGTGTTAAAACAATATAAGATATGTCATCATCAAACAATGCTGTTTATTCCAGGAAATTAAGTCTTGATGCAACTTTAATCTCCAAAGGATTCAACTCGGGCTATTCATTTTCTGGTCACAGACTGTGTGACCTTTTCTTACTGGATGAAGAATTTGTTTTGCCTGTAGGCAAAGAATAATAATACGTTGGTTAGACTTCAAGTCTGAGCTACCATGAAACACTTGGTAAGCCCTTCTAGAGCCTTGGATTTGATTGATGAAATCTGTTAAAGGGTTGGGTCTTGTGGATAAGCAGGAGGATTACAACGGGGCAGAGGGGGCACCAAGTACAACAGGCCTGAGGAAGGCTAATCTGAGCTGGAAAGCTCAATCCTAAAGGTTGATGGAGAGCAGGAGGAAGGGGGGCCTTCCAACACAAGAAAGAAGAGAGTTCAGGGGAGAAGATATTGAGTTCAGTTTTTGAGATGATACATTTGAGGAACCTATGAGACATCCAGGCAGGGATGAATAATAAGTGGACCGATGAGAACATAGATCTGCAACTCAGAAGAGGCCTGGGAAAGAGATGTAGGTCTGGATTTAAAAGTCTTCCCATAGGATGATGGGGGTTGGCAATGAGATCACCCTAGAAAACCGTGGAAGAGTATGTACCATGAATAGATTAAGAGTGGTTGGCACAAGAGAAGGAGGTACCCACCAAGAGAATGGGATGGACGGTCAGAGAGGAAGTGGAGAAACAGGGAAAGCAAAATGAGGAAACCAGGAAAGAGAGGGGCTCAAGGAGATGATGGGTCACGAGTAAATGCTGCACAAAGTTCAAGAAGAAGCAGGACCAAAAAAGCAATTCTGCTTGGCAATTCGTGGGTGCGGGGGGAATCTACCAGATTAAAATGAGTGAGGAGTGACTAGGAGCTGGGAAAGTAGAGGAGAGAGTGGAATGGAGGGGAAATAGGACAGTTTATGATGGAGTAAGGATGTGTGAGGATGAGGAGTTTGTTTGTTTTTTTTTTTGTTTTTTTTTTTAAAGCAGAGAAACCTAAGTATCTTTGTTGAGTAAGAAAGGAGCATAGTGGGAGGCTACAAAGAGAAAATACCTATAAGCATTTGTGTTCCAGTGGTCAGAATTCTACATCAGAGACAGCAAGATACATAGAATTCCGGTCACACAGACAAAGGACGGTCAGATAATAATGTAGGACCATGTAGTCTCCACTGAAATATTCTGGGTTACACTTAGAGCAAATTTCACCAAAAAACATGTTCCTACGAATGCCAATGTCACACTTTGAATGATAGGTGTATGAAGTAGGGTCATACTAGTTTACCTGTTACAGTGGCAGAGGACTAGACCAAATAGCTTTTTGAAGTCACTACTAATCCTAAAGATGTGTGATTTTCTGTGCTTTGATTCTTTTTGTTGAATTCACAATTATTTTACTAATACAGTTCTTGGTTAAACGCTCGTGTCCTCTACCCCAGTTTTCTTACCACCTGCCCTTCCTGGAAAATGTTGATTCTGCAACCTAAACCAACTCTGTAACAAGTTACATAACAACTATCTCCAGCACATTCTCACTATACCCACTGGATACAGTCACTGAATCAAATAAAATATCCCAATTAGTGCCTTCAAATTTCTACAACAGCTCATTCCATTCTTTTTTTTTTTTTTTACACATCTCCCAGTATTACCCTACTGCTGTCTACTTCTCCCCAGACAATCTGCTGCACCGGTCTCAAAGAATACTTTTTTGAAGAAAATATCTATCTCGAATGAAAGCCGATGAAGTTAAATGTGTCTTCAGGCATTTCCCTTTGACCTAGGAAGAGAGGTTTTTTTGGGTTTGTTTTTTACTTTGAGTTGTCCTACAACATGTTGCTTTGGAATTTGCTGGATTAAATATTGTGGAAATTGTTCCAGTGACAAGTCACCCCCTATAATCGGATACTCAGGAAACTGGGGGTGTTCTATTGTTGATTTAGTGTTTCAAATACTTTGGCCTTGGTCAAATATATTCACAATTTAATGAGATATTAATGCTGAGAAGAAAAGACTTTATTCATTCTCTAACATCTGCATGTACCAGTGGTCTAGATAATAGAACTTCTGGTAAAGTAAAATTTTTAAGATTCTTACCACATAGATCAGGAACTGCCAGCCAACAAAGTAATACTGTACTGTTCTTGCAGAGATAGATTGACTTCTATTTGGGGCAAAGTTCACCAATAAGTATGTTCCCGCAAATGCCAATGTCATACCTTTAAATAAAATTGAAAAGACAAACCAAGTTGAAAAGGGATATTTAAGACTTTTTATCAATTCAAATATTACCTATAGAATGAGCATTACTTATAAAAGTGCCTTTAGTCCCTCCCTATTAAAATGTGATTCATCAAACTATCCCTAGATAGCATAATGCATTCACTTGATGGCATTATCTTTAAAAGGGGGGATAAGGGCCAGGGAAAGGGTGCGGTCAGACATAACTTCTGATTTTTCTTTGTTGTTCCAGATGAATCCTTGCCTCTTCAGAAAACCTTTCCCCAAAGATGGGAAAGATCAGAACACATGCATTTGGACACATGAAAACATATCCAAGCTGGCTGTTTATTTCTATGTGGACCAGTAAGTACACGATAGATCTAGATCCATCAGAGCCCAGAGAGTGGGGAAGTCTATCACCTGATGATGACCTGATGATCTACTCTGTACTTATTCATCTTTGAAGCCTTTACACACACACACACACACACACACACACACACACACACACACACAC